ACCTAAACCAGCCAAGGTGCCAGCACAAAACCACATTCAGCAAAATATGGTTTAATTATCAGTATTGACCAAAAATCCTCCATTTCAGGCCCCAGAAAGAAGAAAAAAGAAGTGTAAATAGTTAATTTAATAAGGCTAATTTTCATTAAATAAAAACCTTTTTTAAAAAGGTGTCAGGTATATGTCATGTGAAAGATTCAGGACACCCTATTGAATTCCATTGTTTTCTGTATCAGGACATAATAAAAAATGATCTGGTCCTTGGCAGGTCTTAAAGTTTGGAAAATAGAAACTCAGATGAACAACATAACGTGAAATATCACACCATGTCATTATTTATTTAACAAAAATAAAGCCAAGATGGAAAAGCTATGTTTTACAAAGTTAGGACACCCTATGATTCAAGTGCCTGTGGATCCACTTTTAGCAGCAATAACTTGAAGTAATCATTTTCTGTATGATTTTATCAGTCTGGAGGAATTTTGGCCCACTCTTCTTTACAATGTTTCTCCAGTTTATTGAGGTTTGTGGGCATTTCTTTATGCACCGCTCTTGCCACAGCATTTCAGTCAGGATGAGGTCTGGACTTTGACTGGGCTATTGCAACATTTCAATTATTTTGTTTTCAGCCATTCTGTTGTAGATTTGCTGGTGTGCTTGGGATCAATGCCCTGTTGCATCACCCATTTTTGGCCCAACTTTAGCTGTCGGAATTGATGTCCTCACATTTGACTGTAGAATACTTTGGTATACAGAGGAGTTCATGGTCGACTCAATGACTGTGAGGTGCTCAGTTCCTATGGCTACAAAACAAACCCAAAATCATCAGCCCCCCGCATGTGTGACTTTTACTATGAGGTGTTTGTGCTGATATTCTCATTAGGTTTTCACTAAACGTGGCGCTGTGCATTATGGCCAAACATCTCCACTTTGATCTTGTCTGTTCAAAGGACATTATTATAGAAGTCTTATGGTTTGTTCAGATGCAACTTTGCAAACCTAAACCTTGATGGCAGCAACAATTACTTCTCTAAGATCATTGCTGATCTCTTACCTCTTTGGCGTTGTTAACACGCACCTGAAGGCTCCAGACCAGCAAACTGCTAAAATGTCTGTTTTTATAAATGTGAACACACTTGATCAGTTAATCAAAGTTATTCGGTGTCACAAGTTTGTCACCCATGGCTTTTCCATATTGGCTTTATTTTTATTGAATAAATAATGACTCTGTGCAATATGTCATGTTGTTGTTTACCTGAGGTTTTATTTTCCAAATTTTAAGACCTGCCAAGGACCATTTAATTTATGATGTCCTGATATGGAAAACCATGGAAGTCAATAGGGCGTCCTAGCTTTATTCATATGACTGTATGTATGTATGTTTGTATATGATTCTAATTTATTGAGATGCACCTGTATATATACATACATACACACACACACACACACACACTACTAGGGTGACCATACATCCTGTTTTCCTCGGACATGTCCTCTTTTTGGACCTAAAAAAAATGCGTCCGGCCGGGATTTCTTAATCACCCAAAATGTCCGGGATTTGGCTGTTATCTTAATCTCGCTACCGCTGAATCTCTGACCATTGCCACCTGCTCCCGCAACATGTGTTTCGCTCCCGCGATTTTCATGTCCACTCCTTTAAGCATTCTAATATTGTGTATAATTTTGGTGCATCAGGGAGACGCTCTCAGGATGTGGAGTATTTAAATCCCTTTTGAATGAGCGTTCGCGCTGTTTACTTTCAATTTCGATTTCGCGATCACACGCACTCTGTGTAAAGGGAGCAAGATCAGATATTTGTCAATGAGCTCAGTATCTGTTGAGCAGCAAATATTCCAGCATGGTCTTGTCAGTCATCTCTCCTTATTCTCGACCTGTGATCAGATTTGGGGGTCGTAGAGCAAGTAAGGTAAAAATGCAAATTATAAGACAATGAAAGTGTTTTTTGACCTTGCATGCATGTCAACCCGTTGTTGGGGACTCCCAAAAACAAAATATGAACCTTTCATAACCCGTAATAGGGGCACACAGTTTCTTATGCTCCTCAGGGCTGCATTTATTTGATCAAAAATACAGGAAAAAAAAATTATATTGTGAAATATTATTACAATGTAAAATAATATTTTTCTATTTTAATATACATTAAAATCTCATTTATTCCTGTGATGCAAAGCTGAATGTTGAGCATCAGTACTCCAGTCTTCAGTGTCACATGATCCTTCAGAAATTATTCTAATATGCTGATTTATTATTAGAAATATATTGGAAACTGTTGTGCTGCTTAATATTTTTTCGGAACCTGTGATACTTTTTTCAGGATTCTTTGATGAATAAAAAGTTAAAAAGAAGAGCATTTCTTTAAAATAGAAATATTTTCTAACAATATACATTACCGTGTACAAGTTTGGGGTCTGTACATTTTTATTCTTTCTTTTTTTGAAAGAAATTAACTTTTATTCAGCAAGAATGTGTTAAATTGGTAAGAAGTGATAGCAAAGATTTATATTGTTAGAAAATATTTATATTTTGAATAAATGCTGTTCTATTTAACTTTTTATTCATCAAAGAATCCTAAAAAAAAGTATCTGTTTCCAAAAAAAAAAAAATGGCAGCACAACTATTGCCAACATTAATAATTCTAATAATAAATCAGCATATTAGAATGAATTCTGAAGGATCATGTGACACTTTAGAATGGAGTAATGGCTGATGGCAATTCAGCTTTGCATTACAGAAATAAATTATATTTTAAAGTATATTAAAATAGAAACCACTATTTTATATTGTAATAACATTTTGTAATATTACTGTTTTTTCCTGTATTTTTGATTAAATAAATGCAGCCTTGACGAGCATAAAATACTTATTTAAAAAACATTACAAGTCTTACTGATCCCAATCTTTTGAACGGTAGTGTGTGTGTATATATAAGTTGATATTCTGGTCATGTTTTTTTTTTTTTTTGCCCAATGGTCATGCCTTAACTTTGCTAATTCTATTATTGCATTTGTATTGCATCCTTCTCATGGGCATTTAATAATTTTTTACTTTTAGTCTGCATTAAATCTCTTTTTTGGCTCATTTTATCTGTAAAAGAAAACCTGCCTAATAATTCTGCACACCTGAATATAAGGAGTTTTTGACTTCCAGCCTTCATGGACAATTATATATCACTAATAAATGATTAAATACAAAATCAATAGTATGTATTAAGATCGATGTTGTTTGGAATTGGTAAAATGTTCTTGGAAAAAAAAATATGACCAAAATAAACTTGCCTAATAATTCTGCACGTGATATATATATATATATCTCACATGCAGAATTATTAGGCAAGTTTATCTGAAATCTTAAAGGGGTCATATGATGCGATTTCAATTTTTCCTTTCTCTTTGGAGTGTTACAAGCTCTTGGTGCATAAAAAAGATCTGTAAAGTTGCAAAGACTAAAGTCTCAAATCCAAAGAGAAATTCTTTATAAAAGTTAAGAGTCAGCCACGCCTACCTAAAACGGCTCATTCTAACACGCCCCCACATATCTACATCACTATGTGGGAAGATTTGCATAACGCCGCCCAAATGTTCACGCAAAGAAAGAAGGCGTAACTTTTATTCTGGCTGTAGTATTGTTGCTGCCGCCATGTTGTGAATGCGCTGTGTGATTCGTTGTGAAAGCGAAACTACTTTGTTTGGCCTTCCAAAAGAGGACGATATCTGCTTCGTCATGCCTAGAGCTGAGGAAATACTACAACTTTGCGCTGTGGATCGCCGGATCGGCTTTCACCGTGGACGAAGTTGAGTTCAGCCCGGGGTCATCGCATGTGGTTGCCGCAAGCCCTCCGGCCCTTCATTGAATCCGCCGCCTCTGCTCATTCAGCCCGCCGGCAGTTCCTCACTTTATCCCCTGGCCTCTGCTCACGGTTCGGTACGTACCTCGGTTCGGAGGTCACGGTTCGATACAATTTCAGTACAACAGGAAAAAAACAACAAATCTACTATGCCAGGTTTCTTTTCATTTATTTAGAACAGACAGTAGTACAAATTACAATTTATTTCCACCTAGATGTGAAAATACTAAATATCATATTAAATTATAATGTTATATATATAAAATCTGCAGTACATATATACATACAAGGAATAAATACTTGAAATATATTTGATTTAGTTTACAGGTAAACAAGGGAAAAAAACAGTGCGACACATAACGTAGCCTATATATGCTTAATTTGTTCACAGAAAGGAAATTCAAATGGCAGAAAGTGACATCCTATTTGTTTTCTTTATTTTACAAAATCACAATGTTTTGTTTTCATTGCGAGTTTTCACAAATAAAAGTAGACCTTTTACAGTGATGCATTATTAATAAGACAATAAATTAGTGTTTTAAGTTGATTCTGCTGGTATAAGTTAACAGTTAAATTTATCACGCCGGCGTGCACACACACACATTCAGTTCCATCTTTGCTAACTTGAGAGCGCAGTTGGTACTTTATCAAAATAAAATAGTGAATCAAACATCAGCGTGCCCTTCTCTGTGTCACTGTTGGAATGCGACTGAAGTACAAAGCCTATAATTTACATAATAAATAATAGTTTAGCATTCAGATACATCGCAAATATGGAAATATTATGGAATTTTTAAATATGCAGCTCATTATCTGCCCTCATATTTCTGTTGTACATCATTAAACTACAGTATATGGGAAACAATATTGGTTCTAGAACAGAACCTTGAGGGACTCAATTTGTGATATGAAGAAATAAATAGTCTACAATAGGGTGACCATACGTCGTCTTTTTCCAGAAATGTCCTGGCCAGGATTTCTATATTGCCTAACACATCCAGGTTTTGGCTTTGTTTTCCTGTTTTCATACTTTCTGAAGGTATGGTACTTATGTATACCTAATATGTACGCATTACTTTGACCGTTCTCTGTAGATCCCACCTTCTCATGTGCCACAGTTGGTCGATTATGTACAATGCCAAACTACTTTTCGGTCATTACCTTCAGCAAATATGAAAACAGGTAATCAAAGCCAAAACCTGGATAATATAACCTGGCAATATAGAAATCCTAGCCAGGACGTGTCCAAGAAAAAAGACGTGTATGCTCACCCTAGACCACAACAGATAGAAATCATTCTATATTTACAAGGAGTCTATTAAATATACACTTCTTTGTTTTTGAATACCATAATTTAATATCAGACATTTAATTATTTTCTCTATTTTGATACATTTTTGAAAAGTATTTCTGTTTGATTTTGTCTCTCTGTTCATCTTAGTCTTTTTACAGGTGAGAAAGCTGACGAGATCAGATATGTGTCCTGTCAGACCTGCACATCATCCTGCTGTCAATGCCACATCGGTTATCAAGACAGAGGAGCAGCTCAGCAGCTCGATTCTCACCAACCAGTGCATGATGTCCTGCAGAGAGTCAAAGACCAACACAAAACCAGCATGAAGAACAAGCATGAGAGCTTATTTGAGGGAATAAAACTACAAAAGAATGAAGCCCTCCTGAACAGGATTTACACACAGCTGTACATCATAGAGGGAGAGAGTGAAGGAGTGAATGAAGAACATGAGGTGCTACAGATGGAGAAAAGTTACAGGACACTCCAAGACACTCCAGTCAACTGCAATGACATATTTAAGCCCTCATCTGAAACAGAATGTGAGAAGAAAGACAAAATCAAGACTGTTCTTACTAAAGGCATCGCTGGAATTGGAAAAACGGTCTCTGTGCAGAAGTTCATCCTAGACTGGGCTGAGGGAAAAGCCAATCAGGATGTAGATTTCGTGTTTGTACTTTCATTTCGAGAGCTGAACTTGATTAAAGATCATCAGTACAGTCTTCACAGACTTCTGCTTGACTTTCATCCTGAACTTCAAGATCTGGGCTCAAAGATTTATGATGAATGTAAAGTTGTGTTTATCTTTGATGGTCTGGATGAAAGCAGAATTTCACTGATGTTTTCAGACAGTCAGACAATTTCTGATGTGCCTAATATTTCATCAGTGGGTCTGTTGATATCAAACCTCATGAAAGGAGATCTGCTTCCCTCTGCTCTCATCTGGATCACCACCAGACCAGCAGCAGCCAATCAAATCCCCTCAAACTACATCAACCGTGTGACAGAAATTCAGGGATTCAATGACCCTCAGAAGGAGGAATATTTCAGGAAGAGAATCAGTGACAAGCATCAAGCCAGCAGAATCATCTCACACATTAGAAGAGCAAGAAGCCTCCACATCATGTGCCACATACCCGTCTTCTGCTGGATCTCAGCCACTGTGCTTCAGAACATCCTGAAACAAGATCTCAGTGCAGAAATCCCTCAAACTCTGACTGAAATGTACATCTACTTCCTGCTCATTCAAACAAATATAAGGAACCAGAAGTATGAAGAGACACATCCAGAGAAACTCCTGCAGTCCAACAGAGAAGTGATTGTGAAACTTGCTGAACTGGCTTTCAATCAGCTGATGAAGGGCAATGTGATGTTTTATGAGGAGGACCTGAGAGAGAGCGGCATAGATGTCACTGACGCCTCAGTGTATTCTGGGATTTGCACTGAGATCTTTAGAGAGGAATCTGTGATTTATCACAGGAAGGTTTACAGCTTTGTACATCTGAGCTTTCAGGAGTTTTTTGCAGCACTGTATGTATTTTTTTGCTATTTACACAAGAACAGCGAAGTTCTGAAAATGTTCTTGTCAGGAAAGTCCAGAACTCAGTGTGAAAAAGTTTCTCTGGATGTGTTTCTGAAGGGAGCAGTGAATAAAGCCTTGAAGAGTAAAAATGGACACCTGGATCTTTTCATTCGATTCCTTCATGGCATCTCACTGGAGTCCAATCAGAGACTCTTACAGGATGCACTGATACACACAGAGAACAACCCAGAGAGCATCAAGAAAATAATCCAAAACCTTAAACAGGGTCAAAAAAACAATGTAAATCCTGAAAGATGGATGAATCTTTCACACTGCTTGATTGAGATGAAAGATAATTCTGTTGTTAAAGAAATGCAGGCATTTTTAAAATCCGAAACAAAAAGAAAAAATCTTTCTCTTGCACAATGCTCAACTTTGGCAAACATGATCCTGATGTCAGAGGAGGTGCTGGATGAGTTTGATCTTACAAAATACACGACCAAATCAAAAGATGGTAGATGGAGACTGTTACCTGCTGTGAGGAACTGCAGAAAAGCAATGTAAGTATGAAAATATGAAATATGGAGTTGGTGAGTATTATCTGGGTTTGTGTTCACAAGCATAAAATATAAATTATTGCAGTAAAGTGCTGTTTTCATTCTCCACCAAATTATTACTATTTTGTTGTAAATATTTATGATTTATAAACATTATCAATGAAGCTAGTAATAATGAAGCTAGTAGTAATAATTAAATAACTAGTCTAATTCTAAGGCAGTTGTTAAAATTGGCATGCAATGATCTTTTCTTCCATATTGTGAAATATATTTAAGTGATATGGCTTGTTGTAAACACATCGTTAGGGAATAAATTTTGCTGCAAGGAGGAGCGGAAGTTATTTAAAAATTGTTAGGGCAAATATTGTGCCTTGCAAACGTATTAATAGTCCTTAATTCTTTCACGTTTTATGTTGGAGCCTTATGTTAAACTGCTTTAAATTACTTTTTTTCCCACAGCAATATACACTCCATACACCATAATGACAAAGCAATGACAAAGCACAAAACATGTTTGTAACAACTTTGCAAATCTATTAGAGAAAACAAATAAAAAAAACTTAAATGATTCTATTGCAGAACTATTTATACCCTTTTCTGGGACATTTGAAATTTAGCTCAGAAGCATTCATATCGCTTGTAGATGTTACTGCAATTCGAGTGGAGTAAACCTTTGGTGAATTAATTTTAATGATTATGATTTGGAAAGGCACACACCTCTAAATAAAAGGTCTAACAGCTGAAAATGCATATTCAGAGCAAAAATCAAGCCCTGAGGTCAAAAGAACTGCATGTAGAGCTCAGAGACAGGATTGTGTCAAGGCACATATCTGGGGAACAGTTTAGAAAAAAAGAAATCTGCAGAATTGAAGGTTCACAGTAGCATGTAGTCTCTGTTTCTCTTAATGGAAGAAGTTTGGAACAAATATGATTCTTCCTAGAGCTGGCCTACTGGCCAAACTGTGAAATTGATGGAGAAGGGCCTTGGCTAGAGTGATCATCAGCTTCTTAATCACCATATATGCAGATGGGAGAAACTTACAGAAGTACAAACATCACCGCAACACTCCACCAATCCGGTTCCCTTTCAAGGGAACTTCGAACTGCGTCCTCTAGGGGTCGCTATGGGGAATGCCTCGCCGTGACCAGTGTCTGAAGCATACATTGAAAAAACACCAACAACACGTTGGCCAGCGACAGCCCATGACGTCACTCCCGGTGCGACTATAGTACAAATAGGCACCGGGAGAACATGTCATTCTCTTCTTCGTCTTCATTGACTGTTTTGTTTGAAGTGTGCATTTGAACGTGGTAAGAGCAATCTACTATCTGTTATTATGGCAAGCACTAGCAGAACGTTTAGAGGGTGTGTGCATCCGTGTCGTCGCTATTTGACACCTGATGACAAACACGATCTCTGCGTTTTGTGTTTGGTCGAGGACCACGCACGCGACGTCCTTGAGGGGGCGATTTGTGAGCATTTTTTGATGAAAAGCGCCGCTCTCATTTGTCTCTTTTTTTCAAGGAAGAGGCAGCCATCTGCTCCCCACGGTTCAGGACCCGCCGCTGCTGAGGCACCAGGTGGACCTGGCTGATGAGTTTAGGGAGGGGCTTTCCTTCTCACGCTCGTCCGCCGCAGACGAGAGAGAGCCGCTGGAGGATGATGTTATCTCTTTGACGGGCACAGAAGGCTAGTGTCGTGACTCCCGCTCCTCCTTCGCCCGCGGGTAGGGGAAGGAGGAATTGCGGATCAAAGGGAGGTAGGCAAGACCTAAGGGATGTGATCCAGACAAGGCGTCAGCGCTTTCGTCCAGATCAGAGTGATACTTGAGTATCTACTCATTCCCTTCGGGGGTGTCACATCTGCCCTATTTTCTTCCCCTTCCTAATACCCTTATAACCACCAGCACTCCACCTGACCGATGTTAGGTGGGAATTTCCTGCATTACAGTCTCCTATGCTGGGCCTATGATGTTTTGGTTGGTTCTATGTTTTCATAGCAACCACCTTACTGATGGTCCGGACTAGAGGCTTCTCTGAAATCGCCTTTTTGAGTGGGGTTCCGACGCGGGAACCAATTGTGGGTGAGTATGATCCATTTTATTTATATATATATTATATAGCGTTATAGCTTCTTTCCCTTTCTCTGAGTTGGTTAGACCCCGGTACCTTGGGCTCCACTCAACCAGTGTGTCTCTATTTTTTGACACACTTGGAAGTATCGCTCCTCTCACCATTGAGGGTTACTATGAGCATGCTGCTTCCTATCGAGCGCCCGGGTTCCCTCCGTGGGCTGTTCTCGTGGTAGTATTAGCAGTGCTCACCTTTACCAAAGGGTTGCCTATGAGAGCGCTATTCTTCTGAGTTCGGCGTTCTCCTCTCACGTGAGAGTTGAGTTCTCGGTTTTCCCAGAGAACCAGTAGCATCAGGTGAACTAGGCCCTTCCAAATCCGCCTCTCTGATGCGCTGAGTTTTTGGCTAGCTTGCAGTACACTTACCTCTGATTTCTAACGATCATGCTGGGCGAGCCCCCTCTCTTGTTGAGAGCTGGGTCTGTGTTCCCTCAGCTAAGTAAATTATTGCTAGCTGTTCCAGCATTGGAACATGCAGTAGGTCGAGCTCCCCTCTCGTGTGAGAGCTGGGTGTTTGCCACCTCAGCTAGAGATTTAATGCTAGCCATTCCAGCTTTATATCTTAGATCGAGTTGGTGACTAGGGTTTATGTATGTACCCCAACATATTGGGTTTGGTATGGCCCCATTCCATCTATGAGCTGCTCTTTCAGAGTGCCACGAGAGCCCCCTTAGAACGGTATCCTAAAATCCATGTTATGGTAAGTGTGCATGTGAAGGCTTTGTGCACTTTCTAAAAATCCACATTGTGGTAAGTTCGCACGCTAATTCTTTTCGTTCTTTTCTAAAATCATTCCAAGCCTTGAGCTCTACACCGGGCCCAGGAGTCTGGCCCTAAACCGGTAAGTTGGGTATGTAGCCTAGGCCTCTGGCCGTTGGGGATAAAGTCACGGACAGCCATCTGATGTCCCAGGGGCAACTCACCATGAAAATGGTAAAGTTGATACTTAGTGCTCGCCATGGTTCTGGCCCACACTCCCCTCAGCATGGCGGCATGGGTATATAGTTCCCCATAGCAACCCCTAGAGGACGCAGTTCGAAGTTCCCTTGAAAGGGAACATCTCAGGGAACCATGGTTACATAAGTAACCTGAGTAGGGAACGAGACACTGCATCCTCTAGGCTTCCTGCCATGCTTCGACGCAAGCTTCAGACAAAGAAGTGAATGACATGTTCTCCCGGCGCCTATTTATACTATAGTCGTACCGGTAGTGACATCATGGGCTGTCACCGGCCAACGTGTTGTTGGTGTTTTTTCAATGTATGCTTCAGACACTGATCACGACGAGGCGTTCCCCGTAGCGACCCCTAGAGGACGCAGTGTCTCGTTCCCTACTCAGGGAACCATGGTTACATAAGTAACCTGAGACGTTTTTATGGCCAAACTCAATCCTCTCCTCAGTGAAGACACATGAAAACTGACTTGGAATGTGCAACTAAAGTACTCTCAGATTGTGAGAAACAAGACTCTCTGGTCTGATGAACCTCAATTCCAAGCATCATGTATGGAGGAAATCAGGCTCTGCTCATCACCTGCACAGTAGCATCCCAAAAGTAAAATGTGGTGGTAGCAGCCTCATGCTGTGTGCTGTTTTTCAGCAGCAGGGACTGAGGGACTTGTCAGAATACAAGAAAAGCTCTACACAGCAAAATATTGAGATAGCCTTAATGAAAAATTAGTCCAGAGCATTTAGAACCTCAGACTGTGCAGAAGGTTCATCTTCCAACGGGACAATGACCCTAAGCACACAGCAAGAGTGGCTTAAGCCCAATTTATACTTCTGCGTCAAACCTATGCCATAGCCTACGCATAGACGCACACCCTACGCCTTAGCCTACGCCGTAGCCTGACATGCATCTCTCCAAAAATTTAACAGCGCATCAATTCTACACGGACCGCAAGCACTGTGATTGGTCTGCTAGAACCCCTCCCTCCGTATTTACTTGAGTTTTGTGTGTGTTTATGTGCACTTTAATATATTTGAATGTTACACCTTCTTATATAAAATTAAACAAAGCAAAGAACAAGTGTCTTAGCATTTATTATACTACATAGCATTATACATCAGTAGTTGTCCACGACAAACAATGTTGATCTGCCGTGGTACAAGTCCTTGTGGAGATTGAAAGAATGCCATCTTCTCCTGTTTCCGTTGTTGTCTCCTTTTAGTAGTTTTAAATAATGATTTAATGATTTGATATTTGTTTGCCACCATCACCGCTATATTGCTTCTCTGACGAGCCACTTCTTCTTCTGCTTTTGCCATGGTACTGTGGGTTACACCAGCAACATGCCCATGGACACTGCAGACTAAGTATAAATGAAAACTGATGCATAGCCTACGGCATAAAGGCTACAGCGTAGGTTCGATGCAGAAGTATAAATCAGCCTTTATAGACAACTCTGTGAATGTCCTTTAGTGGCCCAGCCACAGCCTGGGCTTGAACCCAATCAAACATTTCTGGAGAAACCTAAAAATGTCTGCAAGCCCCCATGCAAGCTGACAGAGCTTGAGAGGTGAGGAGAAGCATGGCAGATAATTGCCAAATGCAGATGTGCAAAACTTGTTGCATCATACCAAAAATGCATGAGGCTGCAAAGGTGCTTCATCTAAGTATTGCGTTTATTTATAATAAATTTGAAGGGTTGTCACAAATCTGTTTTGTCTGCTTTGTCATTATGGTATATGGAGTGTAGATTGATGTGGAAAAAAGTAATTTAAAGCAGTTTAACATAAGGCTGAAAAATAACTTTCAGAAGGCACTTTAAATAAATAAATGTGTGGATAAATCATCTGTAATTAATACTGCAGTATTCCATAAAATAAGAATTGTCAATATTGATATCATTGTGACGTTAATGTCAATAATAA